TAACATCTCACTGGCATATAATTCCAACAGTCAGTTAAGTTTTCCTGAGCTGCTTAAGCAATAAGTTGAGCCTTTTGATGGACACAGCAACAATTCCTATAAACCCCCACAAGGAAACTTTACAAGATGGCTAAAAGTGTGGGTGGCAGAGGCTACAGGCAAAACAAAAAGAAAATCAAAGAAAGAAAAGTACGTTATTCATTTTCGGATGTGCAACTAGTCTGCCCCTGTGCTGCAGCATTACCTGGTTTGAGAGACTGCCGAGGCACTTCCATGGGATTGATACTTGCATCAGATGGAGGCATGCACCTTTTCGAGAAAAATGCAGCAATGCTTTTTGTCCTCCCTCCACCTTTACCTGCTAATAGACATTACTAGTTTAGTTTACACCAAGTCTTTGCCAATTAATTTTGATGGTCATGACTAAATATACATACTTGGTGAAGTTGAAAAACCAAGCTTGATCAAAATCTCTTTCTTGACCTGCATCACATAAAGACGAGTAAGTAAACAGAATTTGACTTTTGACCTAACAATGATCATCTAACTCGTGATAGTACTTAAATCAAACAGATAATGTAATAGAAAGAATTTCCAATTAATTTAATTAATGTCCAATTGCATATCTAAGGATACATTTGACCACTTAGAATGCATTTAGCCAATATTTGACGTAGATATCAAGGCAAATCAAGAGGATTGCCCAACATTGAGGCCTGGTCCAATTAGTAGAAGTATTTTCAAACAATTGAAGACCAACATTAAAAGCTATGCGCAAAGAATGCTTTCTAATTATCCTAGACTAAGTTATGGAGACAATATCCAAGAATCCAATTTGGTGCATTTAATTGGGCCTTTGGGCCATGACCTTGCTTAAGCCGAATTGGATTACAAGCTTATTCTTTGTGTTTTCAACTTTAAGAGGATAATGGGCTTGCACAATACATTAACAACAACTATACAAGTAGTTCAACGTCATCATTGTGATTACTTGGGCTCCAAAAAGCTTATTTTCATTATGACCAGCCCATGTATATTGCTTGGGCCTTAAGTAGCTTCTTTTTTTTAACCTACATTCAACTTGCTTGCTGACCAAGAAGCGTATCTAGAGTCTTGAACGAATTTATGTCTATCTTAAAGGATTTATTTTATTTTTTTTTAATTTTATATTTCCTATCTTAATAAGGAGTTTAGTTTCAAAGGAAAGCATTGCCTTTGACCAGATATTAATCCTATTTAGGTTAGGATTTTTATTTCCTTTTTCAATTAGGAATCTATTATTTAGGAATTACTATAGCTTGACTAAACCCTAGCCCTATATATATGAGTGTTTGGATTATTCATGGCAGAAAAATTTTAAAAAAATAATTCTCTTTGATTTAAGTGAGTTGTCTTTCTTAATCATATGTTACGGTGTTTCAACCTGTTTAATTAAGCTTTAAACTTAATAAACAAAATTGATTCTTCTTATTCAAAATGTCATTGAAAGCTTTGTCAATTGGGTTTGAGTTTCACTCCTAAGCTTAATTGAAAATGTGTTTCAAGGGTGTTTTGACAAACCCTTTTGATTACTTGAGTTCAGCAAACGTTGACAGTACCTTGGTGACCAAAAAGTTGAGGAAAAGATCACTGATTTCCGTGTCAGCTTGGTATCTGAGCTTTGGCTCAATCAAGTGGTTACGTATCCCTTTCTTTTCCATTGTTTGCACTTCAATCCTTATGTTCTTCCTTGTTGTGTGGTTTGATCAAATATTCAAAAAAAAAAAAAAAATTCTTGTATTGCAAGTGTTTGCTTCTTCTTGCAGATCAATGTTCAATTCACACACGCATACATCAAAACGCACACAATTGTTATTGAAGATTATTTGGGTGATCTTAGGATTAGAGCTTGCTTGTTATTCTGATTAGCATTGAGTGGCGTGATGGTTTGAGATTTCATTAGGAAATTTCAAATTTTTTACATTAATTTATATTGTCTTTTATTGATTGCTAGTTTCTTTTCTTGTTCTATCCTTTTTGCACTCCACATAATTAGATAGCAAATTGTGTCTTGCTATCTAGATTAATTCCAATTCGCATACTGATTTCTTTTCCTAGTGTGCGCATTCTTCTTAAATAAAATTTTAGTTGATTGTTCTTGTCTAAATTGCTTAGAAATATCCTTGTACTGTTTGAAGACATGTTGCATATGGCCCTCAAAGTGGAGAAACAAGTGAAATTCAAAGGAAAAAGTGCCAGCACCTATTCAGCCAACACAACTCCATGGAGAACGAAATCCAATTATCAACAAAAGGATGCTCAGTTCAAAAAAGAGGACAAACCGAGGCCTAATGAAGACAATAGAGGAAAGCCTAAGAACATTGTTAATACTTCTATTAATTTTGATTTCAAATATAATAAGAGGAGTATTAAATGTTTTAAATGTCTTGGTTATGGTCATATTTCTTCTCAATGTCCTAAAAGACGTGTTATGTTTATGAAGGATGATATTATTTATAGTAACAGTGAAAAAGAGAGTAAAGATGAAATGCCACCTATGGAGGATTGCAGTGATGTTGAGGTGGAAGAACCCATTGATTCACAACAATTGGTTACTAGAAGGATGTTGAGTTCTAGTATAAAGGAAGAAGAAGATGAAGCTCTTGCACAAAAGAAGAATATCTTTCATACTAGAGCTGTAGTTAATGGAAAAGCCTGCAGTTTGATAATTGATGGAGGAAGTTGTGTCAATGTTGTTAGTACATTGTTGGCGGACAAGCTGAAATTATCAACTGAAGTTTAATTAAAAACGTGTTTCAAGGGTGTTTTGACAAACCCTTTTGATTACTTGAGTTCAGCAGGAATTGGCAGCACCTTGGTGACCAAAAAGTTGAGAAAAAGATCCTTGGTTTCCACGTCAATATTCATCCAATCCTAAAATCTAGTGTAACTCTACAAATCAAGACTATTATAAGATGGAGTAAGAATTGAACTAAACTGATTATTGGAGCACTGACATAAATTTACTTCAGAATTAGTTCAGTTCTAGGAGGGTAGTCGTGAAACACTAGTACAGTTTTAACATAGAACATATTTAATTAATTCCTCAATAAAAATACTTCCAACGTTATTTTATCCTTTCATTGGCATATTCCAAGACAGATTTTTACAATAGACTTCAAGATATCTAGCTCTGGACAATATCAATTAACCTTTCACACACTAGAGATAATATAAAGTCAATTCATTAAATTATTCGCTGTTAGGTTTTTTATTGGTTTTTTTTCCTTTTTTAGATTGGCCATATGCTTCTGTTAGTTGGTATTCTAATTAATGAATGAAAAGAAAAACTTTTGCTCAAACAGTGATCATGGAATTGGATCCCAAAGGAATAAATGCAAGCACAAGAGAAGCTTGGGTAGTATAAAGGAGAAGAAAAATGATCTACATGTTGATATTATTGACTTCAGTCAGACGATATTGTCGTAAATATTTATGATTATTTAAAATCACGAAGCTGAAGTGTAATCTCTGAAGTATAATACGACCTAGAAATTTGTAGTTACAAGTCAGTGTAATCAGTATATTAAAATCCTTCATGTAAATTATCCAATTTAAAAAAAGAAGACTTGTATTAAGTCTTTGATAGCCATGGATAAGACATGTTTGGGAGCTAGGCCAGGTTCAGGAAGGCTCCTTAAAATAAAGGGACATGTCAGTAGCCTATTCCCACTTATTCTGGCCTGGATTTCCATAGTGTCATATTTTTCATATATATAGAAACTAATTTTTTTGTTCTTTGTATGTTGCATTTTTAAGATAAAAAATATGTAAGTTAAAAACTTTAATTTCGTAACTTTAATTTCTTCCTTTTTTACATAAAAACTTCAATTAGATGTGTCAACAAATATATCTTGTCGTATAAATTAAAAGATAAGTACATAAATAAACAAAAACAACGCACAATATATAGGATGGGATGTGGTATTTAATTAGACAACAGTGAGGTGAGGGGACTTTATTAGGTTATAAATTAATTGCTATTTAAGTAGACAACAGAAAGAATAGAAATGTGTTTTTAAATTACAAATTAATTGGTTCTTTCAAATTTATCAAGTTATTATCAGGTTACGTCGGGCCAAAAAACAATCCTAAACCCAGCCTGAATTTCTTGAGGAGTATTCTTCTGAGCCCCACCTAGGCCATGGGCTAAAAATGAATGCTCAGGCCCATAAAATTGCAATTCAAATTTGCAGGCTTAGGCAGGTGTCAGGCACCTGGATCTCTAACAGCAGCTGGGAAACAAATTTTGATTTAGATTTTGAGGAGATTTTAGGCTTGGAGGAGGCAGAAAAGAGACATCCGCAGAGGAAGAAAAGATAGGAGAAAGAGAAGAGCTAAGAGGATAGAAGAAAAACAATATTAGAGAGGAAAGATGGGTTTTCTTAGATATTTTCTTCACACCTTTCATTAGATTTCAAGCCTACATTTATAGGGTTACTGCAGCCAATAATAGATGGTCAGTTATGGTAATATTCTCCAGTAATATTCTTCAGGACTCTACAGTTGTCCCCTGTCTAGAAAAACCCTAACAAAATTAGTTATCCTAAGGGAAATGCAATTTAATCTTTTTTTCTTCTTCTTTCCTGCTACTTGGCTGGTTCTTGACATTTCTCCCTACTTTGAAGAACCTTGTCATCAAGGTTCTTGTGATGTTACTACAATGGATTTATCCCATCCAATTGTTAGCTCATACGAACATCTACTCCTTGCATTTCCTCCTCTGCAGCCTTGCCCTCCGCTCTACTCAAAAAACAAGTCTTGCTTGCCCGCACAAAATCAGGCTGTCCTTGATGAGCCTCTTGTGTGATCTGCCCGCCAAGATTTGGGGCTTCGATGGGTTCAACTCCTATTCCTCTTCATCTTCTTCATCAATTTCTCCTCTGTTTTCCTCTTCTTCTTCATCGATTTCTCCTTCTCTCTTTTCCTCTTCGTATTCCTCTTCATCTTCTTCTTCATCAATTCTTCCTTCTCCGTTTGCCTCTTCATCTTCTTCATCAGTTTCTCCCTCTTCGTATTCCTCTTCATCGATTTCTACTTCTCCGTTTTCCTCTTCATCGATTTCTACTTCTCCGTTTTCCTCTTCATCTTCTTCTTCATCAATAAGCTGAATCAAGACACCTTGATGATTTTGTGCCATTGATTGGGCTTGGAAACTGATAAATCTTGTTAGATCAGTGAGTGAATCCAAGAGAGGGAGAGGAAAGAGATCCCAAAGGCTCGGTTCAGAGAAGCAAGTGAACCAGTTCGGTTCAAAGTATTGAGTGGACTGGTTCAGTTCAGAGTATTTAGTGGATCTATTCGGTTCAAACCGGCTTGCCAACTGGGTTGGTTTAGGGTTTGAGGAGATTTTAGGGCTGGAGGAGGCAGAAAAGAAAGATTGGCAGAGGAAGAAAAGATAGGAGAGAGAAGAACTGAGAGGATAGAAGAAGAATAATATTAGAGAGGAAAGATGGGTTTTCTTAGATATTTTCCACATGCCTTTCATTAGATTTCAAGCCTACACTTATAGGTTTACTGCAGCCAATAATAGATGGTCAGTTATGGTGATATTCCCTAGTAATATTTCTTCAGGACTCTACAGCTGTCCCCTGTCTAGAAAAACCCTAAGAGAGTTAGTTATCCTAAGGGAAATGCAATTTATTTATTTTTCTTTCCTGCAACTTGGCTGGTTCTTGACAGCAGGTTGCCAGGCTTATTAATCCCTCTACTATAGATCCCGGAATGAAATTGAGATAATTCCTATTGGTGTCAGTTTTTTTTCTTTTTGGGAAATTTTTTAATAGAGACCAATTTTAATGATTCTCTCACTTGGCATGGCTCAGGATTTTAACACTATTTTTTTATAGAAAGATCATGGAGCATCTTTCCACGGAGAAAAGATCATTAAGAGAGTTGTGAGTGAGAGAATATAACTTATTATAGACTTGGGATTTGAAGGGACTCATGAAATAAAAAATAATGAAGCTATCACTGACTTGCACTACATGCCATAATGATGAAGCTATCATCATTATGGCACTGCTAGCAAGATCACCGAAGAAGCATGCCAAAAAAAAGGCTACCATTGACATATAATGAGAGAAGCAAAGAACAGTGAACAGGTTGTCCATTTAGCATTGCAGGGGAGATATTTTTTAGATTGGAGATTCCCATGTCACTAATTGGCTAGTGGAGAAGCTGCTACAAAAATCTACTCATGATCCAATTTTTTGATTGAGAAGGATAGTAGGTCTGGCCGTTAGAGTACCATTTAGATCAAGGAGAAGAACCACAAAACCCAAAACCATTGGAAGAATCAAAAGGAAGTGCTAGAACCAGCGAAAGAACTATAAGAACAAGCAAAGTAGCTAGGAAGCTTATAAGCACTTAAGATGTTTCAAGTGAACTAAAAACATTCAACACAAGAATGGAGCCAGAAGTATATAATTAAAGCCACTTTCTCTATTTTGGGGAGAGATTACTGATATTTGAATCTCAAAGATCCCTAGAGTTCAGATAACACGTCAATAAGGCTTAAAAATAAATCGTAACTTGATTAATGTGCAAAGGATAGGAAGGGTAAAACATCAAATAGAGGTTAGATATGCATGAAAATGAGCTTCCTTTGCATATTGTTCGGTCGACAACTGACTCTTGTCAGTTTTCTACCTTCTGTTTTTCTTTCCTACCAGACACAGTCTTAAAGGTAAGTTTAAAACTGAATATCCAGGAGAGAAAGCATGAGTAAAACTGGAAACAAAAAACTAATATGACTCTATATAGTAGTAATTTGTAGAAAACTTAGGGAAACACATTTAATAGGTAAGCAACTTGAGTAGTTAACGTGACCAAAATACCAAGCTAATTACTTGCCAAGACCTTATATAGGAACTTTAAAAGAAACATGAGGTATAATACCATCTGATTTGCTCTGGTCCTCTGTAGACCAAGCTTGAGCAAGAGATGAGAGAACTCTGTAGCCATTACTAATCCAACTCCACTAAAATTTTCTTTTAAACTCTTTGTTAAGCATACACATCTTATTCCTATGGTTAGAAACTTCAAAAAATACCAGAGGCATAAACGCCTACTAACATCATAATAAAAACTTGGAGTGAGCCACTAACCTGCCAGCGGTTATCTGCAAAATCTGATATCTCACGCACTTTATTTCTTAATTGAGACCTTGAAATATCAGGGAACTTCTGTTGCAATGAATCTACCACCTTATTGATTCCTTGAGAACATGACTGAATTAGAGAGACCTGAAACCAAAAAACTACTGTTAGAGCCAAAAAATGGCGAGATACTAATAAAATCAACTAAAATATTACTTAACATCTTACTATGAGTTTTAAAGCTCAGGCAAGACATTAATGTTCTTGG